GCTTGCCACAAATGAACCACGATACCTCGCTGATCTCGTTAAGGAGCATCAACCATCATCACGCGAACTCCGCTCATCCTCACAGCAGCGGCTTTTGGGTAGCCATCGAACAAAGACGCTCATTGCATCGCACGCTTTCAGATACGCTTCTGCGGCCGTCTGGAACGCTCTTCTGATGTTAGGAATCCACCGGAGCTACGCTCTGTGTAATGTTGATTGAAAGCTCAGAAACGCTTCTTTTTAGTTTGTCGTTTTCCCCGCACCTGCGATTAGCAAGGTTGGCTACGTATGGGTTGAAATAAGTTCAACATACACACACAGAGCAGAGCCAGGACCAAACCGTGATGCAATGACCTGATGACATCTGAAGCTAGGTCGGAGCCTAGCAGGGCCAAGGTTGGGGCTAATGACGCATTTATTTGTGTATCTGAAATTACCCCAATACATTGAGGACTCCGCATTAGCAAGTCCGTCAGGGCGTGCCAGGCAGACGTTGCGCTGCACGTGCTGGAGGAGGAAGCTGGCACAGCTATGTGGCTACGTGGGCTGACGTTCACCACACATATAACATTGACATACATATGCATGTATTTGATTGTTTTTTTCTTGGTGCTCTGTGTGACAGTCACGTGCAAAAGAAATTCGCTAAATAAAAAAAATTAGCATGCCATTTTACACGTCTCAACCCATTGTACGCGTGTCGTCAGCGGCACGGCTCGCCTTCCGCAGTGGAAAACACACAACCGTGGCTTCTCCCGAGCTGCCACGGCATGGCGCTGCAATCCCAGCGTGGTTCACAGGTGCCAGTCGGAAAACAGCGGTGTCGGTAGCGGAGAGGCGTGCAGACAGAGGAGCCGACGTTTCGTGTGCAGGCTGACATCTGTACAGGAAAGTGCCCCTTTTTAAGGGTGAATGAAATTGCTAAATAAAGTAACCCACTTCCGCAATTTGATATCTTATCAGTAAAAACACATGTTGGGTGAATGGTTGGGTTGTAGACCTGCATACGTCACGGCAATTTGTATTGCTCATTCCTACTCTTTCCAACAGGGTTGAACTTGTTCGACACATTTCTGATGACAATCGTTTAAAACGCTTGTAGGGTTGAACTTGTTCGACACATTTCTGATTACAATCGTTTAAAACGCTTGTTTTGGGGTAATTTTGCACACTTGTAACAGCCTCCCCAGAGATTGCGTTGCCACTTAAGAGCTTGAGATGATGGTTCAGGCCACCACAAACTTAGAACTATGCAATAAGCGACAGGGATGCTGCTGCTAGGATGTAATGGTTAGCACCCTGTGCTTAAAAGTTCAGATCGCCAGTTCGATCTCCCGGCACGGCAGCTGAAGCGGATTGCTGTTTGTTTCATTTGATTTCACCCCCACTTCTGTCCACCAAAACAGCTGAAATCTATCGGCAGGTCGAATGTTGCGGGAACAAATCCTCAAGGATGTTTAGTCTGTGCGCATTCATAAGCCAAATACTCACCAAAAACCCCGGCGTTCTCTCCAATCACAATCTTGTGGAGCTCGAGTGGAGCGTGGCGAGGTGAGAGACGCGGCCGACTGGCCGGAAGACGCACAAACACCGCCACAGCTGCAATGAATGCACTTCGAACTTCTGTCGCACCGTACGTAGCCAGCGGTGCCCATCGCTGGCCACGTACAACAACAACAACAACAAAAGCCTGGACTTCAAGTCCCGGGAAGACTTCAGATTTCCAAAAATAAAGTAGTACATGTTATTTATGTTGTTTATTGTTAAAAATTCGGTCACAGTCCCTATGATCACTGTTACATTGCATTTATGGCTTCATTTTGGTGATTTCGAAAACGTTTTTTTTGGTTTGGCCATGTTTTTGTTTAGTGTAGTACGGAGATAGACTGATGGCCTTAATCTAAGTTTTCTTGTTGTTTTTGTTGACTTGCATCCCACTGGGATTTTTGCACACAGCGTTGGTGTACGGTGCTATTTCAGGAATATTTTGATATTTTTTTCCTGTATTTTCTGTTTGCACAGTCACATAGTCACTCTAAGATGTTTTCTTGTTCATGTTTTTTGTTTGTTGCGGTTGCACCCGATTCAAGAGCCGAATGGCTCACAGGGCTACACCAAATAAATGGAACTATGAACTGTGAACAAGAGAATCGATCCTGAGAAAACTAGGGCAGGTGACAGCCTTCTGATGACGTACGTGCACATCATCAGTTTCTCTTCCGATTCCATTCTGATGACAGAACGGAAAAAAATGACAGAACTGGGAAAAAAAATAAGTGTTTCATTAACCAAGGATCCCACAAGTTATTTCGGGAGGGCGTGCCACAGTTTGGCGCCAGCTATCGTAGAGTGTGGTCGTGTCGCTACAGTTCTCTGTGGTGAGTACAACGTCTTTTAAATCAACGGCACTACGCCTCTCTAAATAACGCTAACCGCTTGCGCGTTCCGAGATTCAGCAGCGAACGGGACACCCACCCTGCAAATTGGCAATGGGAAAGGATTAAAAGTCAGATAGCTCCCTCCTTTCACGTAACTTCCATCAGCATCATCGTCGTTGTCGTGGTTTTCGTCGTTGCATCACAACCCACGAGCGCAGGAAGGAGAATCTTGAAAATCCACCATCCCGTGCTGCTGTGCTCTGCTATCTTATTGCTGCCCCTGCCACACAGTGCCGGATTAAGATAGCGCGGGGCCTGTAGCATATGTTATAAAGGGACAATCAATTAATAAACACATAAATATTCAAACACATTTTTTTACTTGCATAGTAAAGTAATTGTATTTTTTAATTTGCTATACAGCCAGATCATACGACAAATCGTTAAGCTTAAACACCCGGTCATTAATAAAAGTTTAAGGAAGTATAGTACTATAGTAATAGAGCAAGTGCAGAATCACTCAACCGGAATTGAGAGCTTGAAAGCGTTTAGCGTGCGGACCTTGAAAGTGCGGGGCCCGTAGCATTTGTAGCTACAAAAGTAGCTACATATTGTGTAGATACATATGTAGCTACACAATATGTAGCTACACAAGTAGCTAATTGTGTAACTGCATATTGTGTAGCTACATATTGTGTAGCTGCATATTGTGTAGCTACATATTGTGTAGCTGCATATTGTGTAGCTACATATTGTGTAGCTGCATATTGTGTAGCTACATATTGTGTAGCTACATATTGTGTAGCTGCATATTGTGTAGCTACATATTGTGTAGCTGCATATTGTGTAGCTACATATTGTGTAGCTGCATATTGTGTAGCTACATATTGTGTAGCTACATATTGTGTAGCTACATATTGTGTAGCTGCATATTGTGTAGCTGCATATTGTGTAGCTACATATTGTGTAGCTGCATATTGTGTAGCTGCATATTGTGTAGCTACATATTGTGTAGCTACATATTGTGTAGCTACATATTGTGTAGCTACTTGTGTAGCTACTTGTGTAGCTGCATATTGTGTAGCTACATATTGTGTAGCTACATATTGTGTAGCTACTTGTGTAGCTACATATTGTGTAGCTACATATTGTGTAGCTACACAATGTGTAGCTACATATTGTGTAGCTACACATTGTGTAGCTACATATTGTGTAGCTACATATTGTGTAGCTACATATTGTGTATCTGCATATTGTGTAGCTACATATTGTGTAGCTACATATTGTGTAGCTACATATTGTGTAGCTACATATTGTGTAGCTACATATTGTGTAGCTGCATATTGTGTAGTTGCATATTGTGTAGCTGCATATTGTGTAGCTACATATTGTGTAGCTACATATTGTGTAGCTACTTGTGTAGCTACTTGTGTAGCTGCATATTGTGTAGCTACATATTGTGTAGCTACATATTGTGTAGCTACTTGTGTAGCTACTTGTGTAGCTGCATATTGTGTAGCTACATATTGTGTAGCTACTTGTGTAGCTACTTGTATAGCTACATATTGTGTAGCTACATATTGTGTAGCTACATATTGTGTAGCTACACAATGTGTAGCTACATATTGTGTAGCTACATATTGTGTAGCTACACAATGTGTAGCTACATATTGTGTATCTGCATATTGTGTAGCTACATATTGTGTATCTGCATATTGTGTAGCTACATATTGTGTAGCTACATATTGTGTAGCTACATATTGTGTAGATACATATTGTGTAGCTGCATATTGTGTAGCTACTTGTGTAGCTACTTGTGTAGCTGCATATTGTGTAGCTACATATTGTGTAGCTACTTGTGTAGCTACTTGTGTAGCTACATATTGTGTAGCTACATATTGTGTAGCTACATATTGTGTAGCTACATATTGTGTAGCTACACAATGTGTAGCTACATATTGTGTAGCTACATATTGTGTAGCTACACAATGTGTAGCTACATATTGTGTAGCTACATATTGTGTAGCTACATATTGTGTAGCTACATATTGTGTAGCTACATATTGTGTAGCTGCATATTGTGTAGCTACATATTGTGTAGCTACATATTGTGTAGCTACATATTGTGTAGCTGCATATTGTGTAGCTGCATATTGTGTAGCTACATATTGTGTAGCTACATATTGTGTAGCTACATATTGTGTAGCTACATATTGTGTAGCTACACAATGTGTAGCTACATATTGTGTAGCTACATATTGTGTAGCTACATATTGTGTAGCTACATATTGTGTAGCTACATATTGTGTAGCTACATATTGTGTGTCTGCTTGTGCTACGAAGATAATCCGGCACTGATGCCACCTCTTGCTCTCCTTATATTTGTGCGTGTGCCGTTGATCACGGTTAAATATTCTCGTTCGTACGTTGTGCAATATTCCTGCAGGGCCCTGTACTCGTCGTCTGCAATATCGATGTTGTTGCGTTGTTGGCCCCGTTGCAAGGCAGATCCGTGGCGCTCACGTGCCACGGATCCCTCTTGTGACGTGGCCGGGCAACTGCGTGCGGTCGGGGTTCCACCGGCCCTGCCGTTCACAGGATCGCCCTCTCGTCGAGGTAGCCGAGCTGGCAATTCGTTTTGTTCTTCGCAAGCGAATTAAAGAGCCCTGTTGCCTTCAACAAGAAGCGATATACCACTAAAGCAACGCCTTTACACGGAGTCATCTGCTGGCATGGCGATGGCGTCCTAGATGGAAAAAAACCCCCGAAAGACTGAAGTCATTTACTGCATCGTACCTGTCAACCCCTTGTCGGCGCTGCCTACCTTGTTACAGACCAATTCAGACATCATTGGTCACCTCGTGCCCTTAGACATCTCAACGTTCTGCCTACAAGGGAGAGATACACAAACAAATAGACAAATTGTTTGTGCCCGTATTAAAGCTGCAGTACGCCGTACGGACCTGCAAACTCAACTTCCCTGTACAAGAATGCGGGCTGAACCATATGGGTTGACAGATATACTGTATGGATATTTTTAAAGCCGTCCAGAATCGTATGCGCCATTTCGAGCGTGGTGTGGCGTGCTGTTGACAAATCATTGGATTGCCCGTTGGGTGCTCGGCATCCTGGAAAGGATGGCTCTCGTTATCGGAATGATAATTAATCAGCCACGGTCAATCAACTTCTGGATGAAGTCCGACTTCTCTTCCACCATCTCTCACAATCACGCGTTCCAATAATCAATCCAGCACCTGCACAAGAGCAGATTTACCCGGAATCTATCGGCACCCCACATGTGGTGGAGGATTAATGACAATCATTCTGCATTATACGACGAGATGGCGCAACCAAATCGCGAATAGTCTTTGGAAAGAAGGCGCAAAAGTTAAACTGGTATACAAATTTAAAGTCACGAATAATCACATTTTGCCGAAGAACAATCTGCGAATGAATAGGGGGTTTTTTAAACAATATTTTGCAAACAAGAAATGGGCCTTGTATTTGCTGACACATCCCACACTGTAACTGCGTAGTAGGAATGCTGCAGTCATGACATTTGTGATTTTAAAAAACTGCTACATTAACTTAACGAGGTCTTCCGTATTTGTACATTGATCGTCAGGTCTCAAGTAAAAGATGGACTCGCTTTTGTTGAAGGCTACAATCATATTGGCGTGCATTCAAGGTAAGTGCGAGATCTGTTTTCCATGCTTTCACAATCTGCGGTTTAAAAACTATGAAACTAAAAACTAGTTTTATTTTTAGTCTATGGTTCTTTCGGTAAAGTCACGTAGATAGAAAAAATAAAAACACTAAAATAATAAAAATAAATATGAAGTGAATAAATGTATAAAAAATATCACGACGTTTCGATTGCAACACAAGCGGTCGAAACGTCGTGATAATTTTCTTATTTTTATTCACTTTATTTTAATTTTCATTATTGTATTGTTATTATTTTTTCTTCTATCTACGTGACTTCACAAGTGACCGCTATGCACTTGACAGCTCAACAAAGTGACTTGACAGGTCAACAAAGTGGCTTGACAGCTCAACAAAGTGACTTGACAGCTCAACAAAGTTGCTTGACAGCTCAACAAAGTGACTTGACAGCTCAACAAAGTGACTTGACAGCTCAACAAAGTGACTTGATAGCTCAACAAAGTGACTTGACAGCTCAACAAAGTGACTTGACAGCTCAACAAAGTGACTTGATAGCTCAACAAAGTGACTTGACAGCTCAACAAAGTGACTTGACAGCTCAACAAAGTGACTTGATAGCTCAACAAAGTGACTTGACAGCTCAACAAAGTGACTTGACAGCTCAACAAAGTGACTTGATAGCTCAACAAAGTGACTTGATAGCTCAACAAAGTGACTTGACAGCTCAACAAAGTGACTTGATAGCTCAACAAAGTGACTTGATAGCTCAACAAAGTGACTTGATAGCTCAACAAAGTGACTTGACAGCTCAACAAAGTGACTTGATAGCTCAACAAAGTGACTTGACAGCTCAACAAAGTGACTTGATAGCTCAACAAAGTGACTTGATAGCTCAACAAAGTGACTTGATAGCTCAACAAAGTGACTTGATAGCTCAACAAAGTGACTTGACAGCTCAACAAAGTGACTTGATAGCTCAACAAAGTGACTTGACAGCTCAACAAAGTGACTTGATAGCTCAACAAAGTGACTTGACAGCTCAACAAAGTGACTTGATAGCTCAACATCGTGACTTGATAGCTCAACAAAGTGACTTGACAGCTCAACAAAGTGACTTGATAGCTCAACAAAGTGACTTGACAGCTCAACAAAGTGACTTGATAGCTCAACAAAGTGGCTTGATAGCTCAACAAAGTGACTTGACAGCTCAACAAAGTGACTTGATAGCTCAACAAAGTGACTTGACACCTCAACAAAGTGAATTGACAGCTCAACAAAGTGACTTGACAGCTCAACAAAGTGACTTGACACCTCAACAAAGTGACTTGATAGCTCAACAAAGTGACTTGATAGCTCAACAAAGTGACTTGACAGCTCAACAAAGTGACTTGACACCTCAACAAAGTGACTTGACAGCTCAACAAAGTGACTTGACAGCTCAATAAAGTGACTTGACAGCTCAACAAAGTGACTTGATAGCTCAACAAAGTGACTTGACAGCTCAACAAAGTGACTTGATAGCTCAACAAAGTGACTTGACAGCTCAACAAAGTGACTTGATAGCTCAACATCGTGACTTGATAGCTCAACAAAGTGACTTGACAGCTCAACAAAGTGACTTGATAGCTCAACAAAGTGACTTGACAGCTCAACAAAGTGACTTGATAGCTCAACAAAGTGGCTTGATAGCTCAACAAAGTGACTTGACAGCTCAACAAAGTGACTTGATAGCTCAACAAAGTGACTTGACACCTCAACAAAGTGAATTGACAGCTCAACAAAGTGACTTGACAGCTCAACAAAGTGACTTGACACCTCAACAAAGTGACTTGATAGCTCAACAAAGTGACTTGATAGCTCAACAAAGTGACTTGACAGCTCAACAAAGTGACTTGACACCTCAACAAAGTGACTTGACAGCTCAACAAAGTGACTTGACAGCTCAATAAAGTGACTTGACAGCTCAACAAAGTGACTTGATAGCTCAACAAAGTGACTTGACAGCTCAACAAAGTGACTTGATAGCTCAACAAAGTGACTTGACAGCTCAACAAAGTGACTTGACAGCTCAACAAAGTGACTTGATAGCTCAACAAAGTGACTTGATAGCTCAATAAAGTGACTTGATAGCTCAACAAAGTGACTTGATAGCTCAACAAAGTGGCTTGATAGCTCAACTAAGTGACTTGACAGCTCAACAAAGTGACTTGACAGCTCAACAAAGTGACTTGACAGCTCAACAAAGTGACTGGACAGCTCAACAAAGTGACTTGACAGCTCAACTAAGTGACTTGATAGCTCATCAAAGTGACTTCACAGCTCAACAAAGTGACTTGACAGCTCAACAAAGTGGCTAATCGCGTGGGAATTCATAGCAGCCAAATAACTCCAAACAAACGTTTCTAAATGTGGAGGTAATGGCAAGGAGAAATAGAATTCCTTTGGTTCGACGTCTCAGCGAAATAAATCACCATTGCTGCTGTTCACCCAGGGAAGTCCCAGTCGCCACCGTCACAGTAGGGTCCTGCCAGGTTTTTGCAGCAGACAGTGATGATTACATGTACATTTTAAATTCCTAATTTCCAGGTATTTTTTTGTTTTACGTGGCAAACTTGGACCACGATTCCAGCACACAAATGTCCTCCTCCCCTTGCTAAATGACACGGGATCTCTTTAAACGCACACTCTCGAACAGTTAACACATCCTCTTTGGTTCTATTCGGTAAAGTCACGTAGGTAAATAATACCTACGTGACTTTACCGAATAGAACCAAAGAGTATGGATCCTTGCAGTCACGAAAGCTTTAAATCTAGAACAGTTAACACATCCATGAAGTAACCCAAGGTGGCCGCTATTTTGGATCCGTGGTGCCTCTGCAACAAGCGAGGCCCTTCCACTAGGACTCCGTCTTCGCCTCTCGTTGACTGCCGCAGGTAGTGGCGTCGCTCGCCACAAGCTGCGCAGTTTGCTAAAGGTGCTCCCAAGCAGTTGGGTCATGAATAATACAACTTGAAAGTCCTATTAAAACAGCTCACATGTGTACCTTGTCTCGCCACACCGCTACCTTCCGTCTGCATCTCACCTCGAAACAAACCTCTCCCCCTTCTGTCATCTCACCGGGAGTTTGTAACCAACAACAACAAAGGGAGAGAGGGGGGTAAAGAAGTCCGTCACTCGGTGACACAATTTGAATGCCTAAATCACGAATGCAGCCACCAAGTGGAAGAATGCCGTGGTAGTCAATATCACTACGTGGCTAATCTAGCAATTCGTTAGTGTTAAGACTCACAAAGTAGCTGCACAATTGTGACGTCTCAAATCATATTTCCAGCTTCACCATCTGGTCCAGCCTGTACATAACAGTACACAAACCATAGCAGTACACAAACCATAACAGTACACAAACCATAACAGTACACAAACCATAGCAGTAAACAAATCATAGCAGTAAACAAACCATAACAGTACACAAACCATAACAGTACACAACCCATAGCAGTACACAAACCATAGCAGTACACAAATCATAGCAGTACACAAACCATAACAGTACACAAACCATAACAGTACACAAACCATAGCAGTACACAAACCATAACAGTACACAACCCATAGCAGTACACAAACCATAGCAGTAAACAAACCATAACAGTAAACAAACCATAACAGTACACAAACCATAGCAGTACACAAACCATAACAGTACACAAACCATAACAGTACACAAACCATAGCAGTACACAAACCATAGCAGTATACAAACCATAGCAGTACACAAACCATAGCAGTACACAAACCATAGCAGTACACAAACCATAGCAGTACACAAACCATAGCAGTACACAAACCATAGCAGTACACAAACCATAGCAGTACACAAACCATAGCAGTACACAAACCATAACAGTACACATAGACCAGTAGTCCTAAGTCTGGAGTGCACGCTGGACCCCCTGGGGGTGCGAGATGCCCTTTGTGGGGGTGCGAGACATGACCAGATTGTTTTAAAAGGTAAATCATCGAAGCGTGCCTTACTTTGTTTCATCCAAGCCTCTGTATTTATTAACATTATACTGAGAACATTAACATTATACTGAGAACATTAACATTATACTGAGAACATTAACATTATACTGAGAACATTAACATTATACTGAGAACATTAACATTATACTGAGAACATTAACATTATACTGAGAACATTAACATTATACTGAGAACATCAACATTATACTGAGAACATTAACATTATACTGAGAACATTAACATTATACTGAGAACATTAACATTATACTGAGAACATTAACATTATACTGAGAACATTAATATTATACTGAGAACATTAACATTATACTGAGAACATTAACATTATACTGAGAACATTAACATTATACTGAGAACATTAACTTTATACTGAGAACATTAACATTATATTGAGAACATTAACATTATACTGAGAACATTAACATTATACTGAGAACATTAACATTATACTGAGAACATTAACATTATACTGAGAACATTAACATTATACTGAGAACATTAACATTATACTGAGAACATTAACATTATACTGAGAACATTAACATTATACTGAGAACATTAACATTATACTGAGAACATTAACATTATACTGAGAACATTAACATTATACTGAGAACATTAACATTATACTGAGAACATTAACATTATACTGAGAACACTAACATTATACTGAGAACATCAACATTATACTGAGAACATTAACATTATACTGAGAACATTAACATTATACTGAGAACATTAACATTATACTGAGAACATTAACATTATACTGAGAACATTAACATTATACTGAGAACATTAACATTATACTGAGAACATTAACATTATACTGATAACATTAACATTATACTGAGAACATTAACATTATACTGAGAACATTAACATTATACTGAGGACATTAACATTATACTGAGAACATTAACATTATACTGAGAACATTAACATTATACTGAGAACATTAACATTATACTGAGAAC